GTTCTTTGCTAAAGCAGTATTAGGAAAAAATGGGAAAATCTGAATAATTCAAACCCTGTCATTTCGCCCCAATATCAAATACAGAAACCGAAGCCTTCACTTTAGGCCTTAAATTTGCTACACGAAATTGAAACAAGACTTCCACTACATCGTTAAATCTAGACAAACTGCCTCTAACTTTCAGAAAGGCTAATCTTTAAGGCATCTCAGTGCCATCTCAACACAGCTTTCCAGTCCAACCTCAACGTTACATCACTGTCCTCAAAACTTTAGCAAAAGACACGAGTATCAGAATCAACACTGTCGATAAAGGTTGTGGTGTCGTTATGTTGAACACTAACGTCTACAGGAAAATGTTAAATCTACTATATGACCCAGATTCGTACAAATCTCCCTCAACAAACCAAGTGAACAACCTAACCAAAACCTTTCTTCGCAAGACTAACTTCATTCTAAAGGACTCAGAACAAGGGAAGAAACATCTGCAATCCAAAACCTACCAGAAGCACGGCCTGCCGAAAGACTCTGACACTAATAATCCATTGAAACCCATCTACTCTGGAACAGGTGGAGCAGCCCACCAACTGTCAAGGACTCGAGCCAACTATCTATTTAAACCCTTGGGCACAATCAATCGAGCACACCTTAACACACTCTGATGATCTCAACCACATCCGAAACATTAACGTCAGGAACATGAACCTCTCCAGCCTGGACTTGATATTCCTGTTTACTGAGGTATCCACAGCACAACCATTGCTCTCTTGCGCCTGAAAATTGAAGACTCCTTCGACCTCGGTGTCTCAAACCTTGTTGATAATTATCTTCTCAACAGACTTTTAGATTACCCATGGTTTCCTCACTAGTGATGCACTGGCCGTCCTATAATATAAAACATCTCAAAGCGGAGCGGGTTTCTTCTATCATTTCCTGCTCACTCACCTGGCTCCTTTGTAGTGACCACATACTCTTACCACTAAGCGCTTCAACGTTCCTGCTCTCCAACACAAGCTCAACCAGGTTGAGCACTCAATCTAATTTAACGCTAGAAAAAGTCGACGATACTCTTCCTTTGCGTGATGTTCTTCTCAACAAAACTGACCACGAGCTTCGTTTTAATTAAAGTGTACTGAAAACCGACTAACCAGCACGATCTTTCTCACCTCTCCTCACTATGATACCTGAGCTAAACGAGGCGTAATGATAGGCTTCTTACTGCGTGTCCTTTGTATCAGCAGTAGTAAATTTTTTGAGGAAAAATCCTCTTTTAAGGAACAATTATTTTCTAAGCTTCACTACCCTCATCACTTTAATAAGAGATTCAGACGCTGTGCATAACATCATATTCAATTATCCTAGACATGATACCGCAAAGAGAAGATACATAGTTCTCCCTACTTATTCCGCTGCCAAACATGTCTCTCACTTTCTTTCTTATATACCTTTCCAAGTATCTACCACTGCATCCACTACAGAGACATCACCAGAATAAACACCACCAGGTTTCATTCTTTTCAGGATGCAATGACTGCAACCAAATATACGAGGGATATATCCAGATACCTCCAAACTCGAGAGCAGAATACGAATGCAGAAAGGACATGAAAACGCCCGTGTTTCCACTGAATTCCCACAACAGTTTGATGAACTACAGATACCTAAGACTCATTGATAAGGAAGAAGATACTCAGAGACAGGGGCTCTTGGAATCATCACTCATCTACCATTTCATGCACAACAATGACTATACAACATAGTTGAACCTTTTGCCAGAAAACTTCATAGTTACTCAACATAACAAGAGCTCATGCCCATGGAGAAGACATTGGCAGGCCTACCAAACCCTTGCTGGGCGGCTGCTTCTCAAACCCCACCTCTTCTCAGCCATCAACTTCTACAGCCCCACCTGACCCTTCACGATAATACGCTCAAAATATATATGCAGGTCCTGCATCCCCAGGTAGATCTGATTGCGGGTTGATAACACCCACAGGGCGAAACGTAGTCATTAGAGGATGGTATTATATTGCATTTGTCCCTTTCTCCATCGTGAAGATATTTTATACTATTTATTTTTAGATAACAATTGTATTTATCCATCGTGGCGATATTTTATTCAATTTCTCTCTCTCCCTCTCTCTCCCCATACCAAATTTACTAATTCTACAAACAAAATAATTAATTGTTATGTCCATCCTGTCCTCCAGTGTCGCCAGGTTAATTTCCCTTAACTTCTCCTCGTAGGACATTCCCCTTAGCTCCGGGACTTGTCTCGTTCCAAACCTTTGCACTTTCTATAATTTCCTGACGTGCTTGCCCAAATGTGGGCTCCAAAATGGTGCTGCATACCCCAATATAGTCCTGACGTACACGGTGTACAGAGTTCTAAACGATTCCTTACTGCGATCTCGTAATGCTATTTTTAGCTTTTGTGAGACCTCTACCCACTCTACCTGAGGTATCCCAGCGAGTGAGCACGTCTCCTGTATATCCCAGTGCTTAACAGAATAGGAATAGCATATGAAGGTACAAAATAAAAATGGGAACTATGGCTATAGTTTACTTAATAACATAAAAGGACTAGAATACAACATATCCTGATGGAAATTTACACAATATAACAATTGACCTATGAGACTTATTACCAGGGGGAAGGGTAGATGTTATCAGTAACACGGACTAGTACTCACTTTTAAATGCACCGACCAGCTGACCCCGAGATTCCCAATGCGTGGTCCACTACACACCGGCTGTCCAAAGCTCTCGCTTCCCCGGACCTGTCCCCAACAACCCCTTTGCTCCTCTGTTCCCTGGCTTATATTGTAGTCAAAGTACCCCCCCCCCCCAATGGGGTATGTACCACGTGTTACGACCTGACGCCGAGGTCTGACGCCGTTAAGAACAAAAGACCTCAGACGTGGGCGTGACTACCCGACATTTGCAAAAGGCAGGTGTGACCATATAATTAGGTCTCCCAAAGAGACCTCACAAGCCCATCTGAACTGCATCACATCCCCCTTTCTCCCCCAATTTAAAATATCGGGGAACTAGGACAATTTGTCCTAATTATTAGACTATTTTAACCTAAACCCTTTTATTCTATTACAATACAATAGCAAATAATATAAATTTCCCACACAGATGGGTTTAATAAATTCTAGCACAAGAAACGAATAACAATGACTCTGGTGCGAAACCTCCTTATCCGTCATGTCTCCTTAAAACTAAATATCGGCTCCATTTGCCTTCCTGTACTCTACTAGAAATAAACTAGCTCCTGTAGTCACCCTCGCTAATAACCATTGAGCCAAACCTCGAAAGGGTTTTCCTGGC